AAAAAAATAGGGGAGAAGCACAGCGAGAGAAAGCAAAAGAACGCCTGTGGGTAAACTTAACAAAAGGTCCTTCCAATCACTTATAGACTGCCTACAGGGACACGTAACATGACCGCCAGCTTGTGGTTTTCAGTTGTCAGCAGATGTGTTGGGAATTGTAGAAAGAAAATCACTGAATATGCCAAAATGACAAACTAACGCTAGATTGCCAACTAGAGATACTCCTTCTGCAAAGTGGACTAAAACCTACTCAGGAGATCAACAGGAATTGACTGGAAAATCAGGGGATTCTTTCTCAAAGTAAAGCTACGGCAGTCTCTGAAGAGAAATCAGATCAAGATAAATATGTCAAATATAATATCCGTGATAAGAAGCAATATACCAAACTTGCCAACAGCTCTAATCAAACAGCCAGGCTGTAATAACAAAACAAAAGTACCCCTCATAAACATGTGTGAAGCAAAGAGGAGTCGAGAGACCGAACAGAATGGCAAATGTACAAATGTCACAAACTGTAGGTGTCGTGTAGGCCCGTCAACCTCATTTTACACTGACCGTCAAAATATCCCATATTTCTCATCTGTGCCAGAAACGTTTGAGGGTTGACAAAACCTGTCAAAATTGACCAATCAGAGGGTATACCACATCTTGCTATACCAAAATGACCTTTTGTTAAGTTTGCCCACAGGTGCTCTTTCGCTTTCCCTTGCTATGCTTCTCCCCTATTTGTTTTGCTCAACCTCTTTTTGTGTGGCACCTCAACTAACTGAATGCCTGGAAGAGGCTACAAAATCACTAAGTACAGTTCCCATAAAAGTACCTATGTTTGAGGAATTTTTGGTCAATTGGTCAGTATATGCTACCAAGTATTAAATTAAACCAAGGTAGCAAAACAGACGAGGTTCTACCATTTGACTCCTTTCAAAAAATGTCTTCTGCTACAATCTACCTGGTTATCCTCACAGTACAACAGTGTAACAAAGGTTCTGTGAAGTGAAATCACATATAACTTGCTTTTGAATCAACATGCAACTCGACAAAATTACGAACCACTTTGCAATGGCTTCCATTAAACCAGGAAAACATTACAAGCTAACTTAAAGAATGGGTAAAAAAAAAAAACATCCAGAGAGAAAGAGTACACCATTTTTGTACTAATAGAATGGATAATAATGGCCGACCCCAAGGGAAACAAGGAGTTTTGTTTCACCAAGACCCTTAATGTTCCCCAAGGCAAGGCTAGGCCAGAAATCAGACATTAAGATGGTCAATTACTCCAACATTGATTAATTATGTTATAACTGCAATTTAAGTAAATTTTAGTAAACTTGCTGTTAAGTAACATTGTATGTCAGAAAATGGGAACTCTATATAAAGTATGCATTGTTTTTAGCTTTCTCAATTCTATTCCTGATATTTCCAAACATTTATTTCCCCGACGTTTCAGAATTTGATCAAAAAAAATCTTTTCATACAATTTTAGGTGTGCCCTCCCCCAGTGGGTAGGGTTTTTTTACCTTAGTACCCAGTGTTGACTAACATTATCGGGGCAGGAAAATAAACTTAGGTATGATTGCCCAGAGGAAGTAAATTATGTTCTTGAGAAAGGAAAATGGAAGTTTGGTGGTCCAGTGGGCAAGTGAAATTAGTCTCTGTCAGTAGTCTTGTTAATGATGAGTTCCAATCAAAAAGAATTTCAAAACTTAAGACTGCAAGATGAACAACACAGTTGATGTAGTTGATAATTCATGAACATTGTGCACCTATTGGGCAAGTAATATTATAACGGGGGCAACTGAAAACTGAGATGTACTGGCCCACTGGACAACTGAATTTCAATGTTTTTTCCCTACCCTACTTATGTGGTCTATAATGTTCTTCACAAATTATATGGTAGCTACTTTAAAGTGGAATATCCTTTTGTGGTGCTTCCAGTTCCTTAAAAAAACAGGTACATGTACATGCAAAKTCTCTTCAGAGAAACCTTATTACATGTTGGTATATTTGTGAGGAAGACCAGGTATTATCTAGCAGTGGAAGCCTTTTTTGTTCTAAAATTCTAGCAAGTTCACCAGAGACTTTCTTTTATTACTTTTTCACTTTTCTTAAAGTGTAAATGACACAAAAAAATAATTTCTGCTTATTTGAAAGGCCTTTCAAAATACACAAGAATGGCATTTTTCTTTTTGGAATATCTTTTCTCGTTTTAGAGATATTGACGTTTTTCTATTATGCAAATTAGAGCAGTGATGATGTCATATTGTTTGCAACTAACAAATGGTAAATACTGAATAAACGATATCTCTGGAAATATTGAAGCAGCATTCTCGAAACTTGGCACCACAAATGTGCGTCACAAAAGAAACGACACCCTTAGTGCTGTTGCCGTAGCAAATCTTTCAGTTCCAGTCTCTTTCTGTCAAAAAACCAAAAATCTCCATTTGCAACCTCTAAAGTGAAACAAAGGGTCCTACTTGGAACAGACATAGTTCCCATATTGTTTTAACTCCCATCATTAGATTGGGTGGGGTAGATGGTTCTTGGTTTAGTCTTGGTTTAAGACAAAAACTGGGAAACTGCTGTCATAGCAACAGCACTAAGGATGTCATTTTGT